CCTTGTCTGAGCAAGGGGGGCTACTGTAGCAGGAATGTCCGCCTCCTGAGGAAGCCAGCCTGGAGAAGTATTGGCGGCAATATTTGCCCTTTGCATTCTACTGAGCAGTCGGTGATAAATCTAGTCCCTATCTTTAGATAGATCCCCTTCCCTTCCTGCGGGACAGCTGTCTCTCTCTCCCCTCCAGGCAGGAAACATTACCTCCATTTGACCCGCATGAAAACCCGGGGAAGTTCAAGGCCACACAGGTGCAAAGCTGGTCTTAGGATCCCTGGGGGAGGCGTCTCAAACTCAAATGCCTTGGGGGAAGGGGGGATCAATCGGCCAGGTGACTTAAATATGGATCTAGAACAATAGGGAGAGGTAGGGTCCCCAAGAATTTAAATTCCTTGAAGGTATCTCAACTCCAGCATTTTTTGCACTTTTTCTTTCTTTCTTTTTTTTTTTTTTTTCTGGTCCAGGGGCTTGAACTCAGGTGGCAAACCGAGTTTTACCACTGAGCTATATTCCTAGTTCTTTTTTCTTTTTTTTTATTTTGGGACAGGGTCTCAGTACATTTCTTCCGCTGGCCTCCAACCTGAGATCCTCTGGCCTCTGGTCTCCTGAGTTGCTGGGATTACAGGCACCCCTCCCACTCCCCCTCCCCACCCCGCACCTGGCCAAGGTTTTCACTTTTTGTGCTGCTTTCCAATCAAAATAAACCCAGGGGTCTGGGGGGTGTCACTCAGAGGTAGAGAGCTTGGCTAGCCTGCTCTGGAAGCCCTGGGTCCCTGTCCTCAGCACCATAAAACAAAACACGGCCTGGATTCCACCTTGGGACCTCTGCAGGGAGGCTGCCTTTCCTGTCTTTATGGTGCACAGTGTGCCCACCCCCACTCGCCCTCCTACCTGCCTCCAACTAAGGATGACAAGCAGGTTCTCAGCAGCAGAAGTCTCCTGGGGCCAGCTCTGCTGACAGGGATCCCTGATAAGTTCCTGGTTCTCTTCCAAGAAGCCCGCCCCATCCTCAGCCTGAACATCATTCAGAGCAACCTCAGGTCGGTCCACGGCCACCCTGCTCTGCCCACTTTCAGAAGCCCCTCTCCCCACCCCAGCCACATCAAGCAGCGGGGAAAGTCATTCTTAAGAGCTCAGCCCCCAGATCACCTCCTCCCCCCGAGGGCCTGTGCACTATAGCGCTTTGCCCAGGTAACTCTCACACTGCAAGTCAGAATTGACCTCAGGGTCTGACCTGAGGTGGGAACTACACAAACATCTGCATGAAATGGGGGGGCTTTGGATGAGTCCTTCAGCTCTCTCAGCCTCTTTTTTTGTTTGTTTGTTTGTTTGTTTGTTTTGATATCAGGGATTGAACCCAGGGGTGCTTAACCACTGAGCCACAACCCCAGGCCTTTTTTTTTTTTCTTATCTTTTATTTTGAAACAGGATCTCATTAAATTGCTTGGGGAGCCTTGCTAAATGGCTGAGGCTGGCTTTGAACTTGTGATCCTCCTGTCTCAGCCTCCCGAGTCGCTGGGATTACAGGTGTGTGCCACTGGGCTGGGCTTTTTTTTTTTTTTTTTTTTTTTTTTTTTTTAGATGAGGGTCTTGCTCTGATCCTACTGCCTCAGTTTCCCAAATCACCAGGACTATAGGTGTATGCTACCATGATGCATGCCCAACTTAGGCCTCTATTTTCTTAACTGTGAAATGAGTTGGGAGGAGGGAGGATTCAGCGAATGCATGATGTGATAAGCTCCTAAAGATACCCAGTTCCAGTTACTTGGGAAGCTGAGGCAGGAGGATGGCAAGTTGAGAGCCATCCTCTGAAACTTCCMAAAAAAAAAAAATTTTTTTTTTTTTTTTAAGAATGTAGTTCAGGAAGGGCATCATTGGGTTCAATCCCTAATACTAGATCTAAATTAAGTGAAACAAACAAATAAACGAACAACAAAAATCTCAACCGAAGATATCTGGCTCCTAACCCCTGGAAATTGTCAATGTTCTCTTATGTCAAAAAAAATTTTTTTTAAAAAGTGGGGAAGATGGTTCTTGCAAATAGGATTAAATTAAGGGTCTTCTTGAGACGGGTGGATTATGCGGGTTTATCCAGGTGGCCTGGAATATAATCACAAGGGATCTTAAGAAGGGCAAGGAAGGAAGTAGAAGCTGTGACAAGGGACACATTTGTTTTCTTGCCTTTTCTTGCTTCTAGAGGTCACCAAGGGGTCATGAATCAAGAAATACAGGCAGCCTCCAGGAGCCAAGGCAAGCCTTCATTTCTCAGCCACACTGGAGGCTGAGGCAAGGGGATCGAAAGTTCCAGACCAGCCCGGGCCATCTTAGTGAAAGGAAGGAAAAGATTGTCACCACAGCCTCTAGAACAAGCCAGCCCCCCCCCCCCAGCACCCAGACTACACCTCCATGAAGCTAGTTGTGGAATTTGGCCCCCAAAATTGCCAAGAACAGATTTACTATGTTTGACTCCACTAAATTTGTGATTTGTGCAACATCCCTAGAAAACCTATCTACATGGGAAGCACCTGGTACTCCGTAGGTGCTTAAACATGGCAGTTGCTAATAATTGGACCACATACAACCTCCTTTTTTTCATTGGCCTCCATGTCCCTTTCTCCTTTGTGCATGAGATTTTGTCCTTTGGGGACACTCTTCTGAACCTGGCGCTCCCTTCTCTGCCAACCTTGAAGGCTTGGCTCAAAAACCACCTCCTCCAAGTCCTTTGTTAACATCGAGGAAAGTGTCCTCAAACAGGGCCTGACCTATGGCCCTCAAAGAAGCCAGGCAGTGTGTGGCTTTTTGTTTTTATTTTTCTTTGTATCAGGTATGCTCTACCACTGAGCCACATCCTTGCTTTTTTTTTTTTTTTTTTTTTTTTTTTTTTTTTTTTTTTTTATTTTACCTTGAGACAGGGTCTCACTAAGTCGCCCAGGCTGGCCTGGAACTTTTGATCCCCTTGCCTCAGCCTCCAGTGTTTCGGGGAATACAGGCAAGGCACCACCATGTTGGGCTCTATGATCCTCTTTTTTTAACTGAGCCCTGAGGAGGGGAGCTGGCATCCTCAATTTCATGCATCTGATGCTGAGAAATGAAAAACATACATGGTAGAGCGCTTGCCTCGCATGTGCAAGGCCCTGGATTTGATCCCCAAGGAAAGAAAGAAAGAGCGAGCGAGAGAGAAAGAAAACCTTGTAGTCCCAGGTACTCAGAAGGTGAGGCAGAAGGAGTGCTGGAGCCCAGGAGTTTGAGACCAATCTGGGCAACCATGTGAGTTCCCACTGTTACCCAGCTGGGCACAACGCAGCTAGATTTAGAAGCCAGATCTGTCTCCCCCAGAATGTGTGCTGAAAACAGCACAATCCACATTGTGATCTCCCTGGGACCTGGGTGGCTGAGCCAGGTGGAGAGCTGTTACTCGGTTCCTATGGCTTGAGAACCTAGACAGGTGACTTCACCCATCCACACCTCCATTTCCTCATTCACAGGATGAGATAGCTGAGGTCTGAGACTTGTCCCAGGTCACCCCGGGGGAGCTCTGATGCCTCCACCTCTAGCAAAGGACAAATGGAACAGGTTTTCTCTGGGACCCTTGATCAAGTCTGCCCAAGGGGCTGGGCATGGTGGGAGGCTTTCCTCCTAGGTGGCCGTGGGCTCCACGGAGGTGACATGAATAGAAGCACTGGAGCAACAATGGCTCAGGGGATCTATAAGTTAATGGGTTCATTCCTGGACTCATTCAACATTCTTCCGCTTAAAACCTGCCAATGGCTTCTTTCCCACTCGCAACCAATTTCATACCAGGTCCTTTACAGCCCTGCAGGCCCTGGCCCTCCATTAAGGTCTGAATTCCACTTCTTGTCCCCTACTCACCAACCCTAGTCCTGCCTCAGACCTTCTTGCTGTTCCTTCTGCAAAGAACGCTCTTCCCCAGCCTCTACCCTTGGCAGCTGCTTGCTGCTGTTCAGTTCTTGGCTCAGACGGGGCCTCTCCCAGCAAAGTAGTAGCCCTTATCCATCACTGCACCTGCTCATTTTCTTCCTAGCACTTACTGCTCTCTAAAAATTATATTTCTTTCTTTGGTACGGGAATTGAACCCAGGGGCACTTTACCACTGAGGTACCTCCCCAGCCGACCTCCCCTTTTGAAATGGCCCCCGGCTGGCCTCAAACTTGCTATCCTCCTGCCTCAGCCTCCTGAGTCGCTGGGATTACAGGTAGCGTCACCAACCCGGGTTTAAAATTATCTTCTTTATGTGTCTAAACATTGGTTGCTGCTTGTCTCTCCTCATTGGGATGCCAGCTCCATAGGTAGTAAGGAAGCACACTGTTTCTACTGATTCCTCAGTGCCCAGGAGATCCCAGGTGCCCAGAAAATAAAGAAAATTATGTCTGACCTATGGAGTTTTGAGGAATGTTTCTCAACTATAAAGAAATGGTCACAGGTGAGGGTGGGTGGTGGGGTGGCCTGAGAATGGAAGGATGTGAGTCCAAATCCTCGGCTCTACCCTGACCCCTTCCCCGTGGCGTCCCCAAGGCCTGATTTCGAGCGTGAGGGTCGTGGGGACCACACAGCAAATCCCCCTCCCCCTAGACCAGGGGTGGGGTGGCGGGGTGCGGTGGGGCGGTGGGGCGCGCAGTGGGTCACGCGGACCGCCAGGGGGTGCTGTTGGGGCGCACACGACCCACCTGGCGCCCGGGTCCGCGAGCGAGCGCAGCCAGGCCGCCCGGGAACTTTTTTCCTCGCGCTCTCGCTCTCCTGCTCCCCCCGCGCGCCGTCCGCCCGCCCGCTCGCCCGCCCGCTCTTCCTGTGCGGAGGGGATCGCATTTCCCCGCGGCACCCGCGGACACCAGGCAGGCCCGGCCGGGTGCGCGGCCAGGGCCCGCTCCCCGCGCCGCTGGCTCCCTGCGCCCCCGGGCGCCGCCCCCGCCCGCGGCTGAGCTCCGAGAGGCGACTTGGAGCGCTAGAGGCGAGCCGAGCAGGCCGCCCTGCCCGCGGCCCGAGAGCCGGCGCGAGGAGGGGGCGCCGCGGCCCACCCTCCGTCCTGCCTGGCCGCGGGCCGGCCGGGCCAACGCGCCCTGACCCCCCCATGGCCACCCGGGTCTCCGGGCCGCGAAGTCGCAGCGCCAGACGCAGGGCCCCGAAGTGAGCGCGGGCGCCGAGGTGAGCAGCTTGCGCCCGGACGCGGGAGGAGGGACGCTGCCCTGGGGCGAGGGCAGCGCGAGGCGTTGGGATTCCCGAGCCGGGTGGGGAGTCTGGGCGGGTTCGGGGACCGATTAAGCGCGCGGGTTGGCGATGCGGGGGTCCGCGGGGTCATTGCTTTGTGTGGCGTGGGGGGGTGCGCGAGGTCACCGGATGGCCGTCTGGGGAGCTGCAGGGTGGGGGCGCCCTGCGCCGCGGCGCAGGGTCTTCAGAAGGATTTGTGCGGCTGGCTGAGGTCGAGTGGTGGCGAGGGGACGCGGGGAGCGAGGGTCGAATGGGGCCGGGGGCTCTGCGTGCACCCAGGCACCGGGTGTTTGCCCTGCGTGGGGTGGGGATGTGGGGGGCAGTCACACGGCGCCAGGGGCGGAGGGGAGCTTTGTGAGTGCGTCCGGTGGGGGGCGGGGAGCTGACTTGTCGGTGAGTTCCACGCGGGTGGGAGCCRGGGCTGTGATGGCCGTGCGTGGCGAGATGGGGCGCGCACGGCTGTCCGCGACGTCCCCGCCCCGGCCTGTAAGCAGGCCCCGCGCCTGGGCAGGAAGCGGCCCCCACGACCTGGGGAGCTCGGTCSCGGCCAGGCCTCGAGCTCGGGGCCCCTTCGGGGGTGACGTCACGAGCGGGAGCACCGGACACGCGAGCACAGTGTCCCCTAGACTGCGTCGCGGCGGGTCGGGCCCGCAGCCCCACAGCCCCTTTCCAGTCTGAGCCCCCCGCGCCTTTGGAGTCGGGAGACCGGGGTGGAGGACTTGGGGGGGCAGCTGCGGCCGGGGCGGGCGAGGGGATGGCCGGACGCGGGGGTGACATTTGGAGCTTTGGTCCCACTGGGGCGTGCGAGGACGGGCCGAGGGGAAGCGAAACAGCAGCAGGGCCCGAGGTCGCTGCGGCCCCTGCTTCCTGGGGCGCCCGTTTTCCCAGCCAGCCTTTCCCCTTCTTGGGGCTCAGGGTCCTTCTCGAAAAGACACACCGGGGGCCGGAGTGCGTGCGGGCGAGGTGCCCTCCTTCCGGGAGCCCCGGATTGCCGAGAGGAGCGGTGGGGCTCCGGCTCTGAATGGATAAAACCGAGTGTAACAATGCGCTATTGGGGGCCTGGGGGGAGGGGAGGCTGCGCGCCTGAATGGCGGACCCGGGGCCGGCGCTTCCCAGCACGCCGCACACCCTCCCGCAGCGCCTTCTCGGTGGCTTCAGCGGGCCTCGATGCAAGGACCCACGCGGGACCTGCGCGGTTCCCTCCCACCCAAAGCGCATCCCCCCACCCCCCTTTATTTCTCGTCCAACAGCAGTGTTGTATTGAGAATTCAAGGGCATTACATCTGGTTGCAATCCAGTTTCATGCCGCTGCCGGGCTGTTAAGTCCTCGCACTGACGTCAGAGCAGGGGAATTACTTCTTTTTATTTCATCTTTTTTTAGTTGTCTGTTGTCCTGGGAGGGGAGGTGGGGGTGGGCTGGGTAGCTCTGATGTAGAGATGCCAGCGCGGTGGAAACCTTGGGCTGGGGGGTTCTGCTTCTCTTTCTGCCTGCTCCCCCACCCATTCTCCATACAGACCTCGTTTCTGCTCCGGGTCAGGCCCAACCCGGGTGGGGACAGACCCAGTGGAGGGACAGACACAGCTGCGTTTCCATAGGCTTCCCTGGGATGTGGCCCTCAGGATCTGGAGGCTGGAGAGGAATCTTCTAGTTTCCCACCCCCTCCCCTCTTGACAGCCCAGAGGGTATATGGGGGCGCAGGAACAAGAAGTGGACATGGCCTGTCTAGTCTCCAGGCAGCCTCCATCAGAATCTGGCAAAAGCTCTCAGTCAGAGGCTTGGAGAGGAGGAGTGTATCAGGGCRCCATCCAGGTTCCAGAAGCCAACTGTGGACTGGGCAAAATGTGACCTTCCCCAGCAGCCACACATCCCCCGGGCTTCTGCTGAGGGAACTCAGCTGCTCCCCGACCATCTTTACTCCCCTCGGACCATGGGGTCTTGCATGCTGGGCACCCTGTCTTCCTCCTTTGTAGATCTTCAAGCCTAGACCAATGTCTTTAAGATCCTGCCGTGACCTATTGTGTGAAATACATTTGAGGTCTTAGGGCCAGTCACACCCACAGCATATAACGGAAACAAAAGTTTAGTGAATAACCCCTCTGCTATGTGTGCCTGTCTCTGATACCTTCTGCTCTGGTCTTTTGATTAAAAAAATTACTGGTTGCAACCCACTAAGTCAGCGATTTCACAATCCACGAATGGGTCATCCATCAGTAAAAAAAAAAAAAAAAACAGGTCTAGAATGTGGATCTGCCACATATTCATTCAACAAACTGCAATCGAGACCCTAACAATTGTTTTCTCTTTTCCATTGCTCCAGTAACATTTTTCACAATAAATCCTTATTGTGAAAAATGCAAATAATCCAGAACTATACAGAGCGAAAGACCCCTTAACACAAGTTAACTCCAGTTAAGAGTTTGAATGTATCCTTCCATACTTTTTGTAACTCGCCTAATGTCCTAGTGTTTCCTATGTACAAATATATAGTTTTATTTTTCTCCAAATGAGAACATACCACGAGCTCATATTCTGCAACTTCCTTTTTCCTTTCTGATTGTCTGGGAGGAGTTGTGGGGTGAGGTGCTTCAGAGTGAAGCTCTGGGTCACCTCCTGGCTCCACCACGTACAGAAGTTATTTACTTTCTCTGGGCCTCTGTGTCCCCATCTGTACGGTGGGAAAAAAAATCACAGAACTGATCTCACAGGACTCAAGCAAAGACTGAACGGATTAATCTCTAAAGTTTAGACTGAAGCCTCTCCCAATAAATGCTGGTTGCTATTACCTACATTATCATTGTCTTCATTACTGTTCTGTGTCCGTGGTGGCCCAGGTTCGTACCTCTTGCCTTGTACCAGCTGCTTGAGCTGTGGCATGGTTGTCTTTTTTGTGGCTCCCCAGGGAGGAGGAGGTGAAGGCAAGGGGGAAATCAGGTACACAGAGCAGGGTCTCCATGGGACCAGGCACCTGGATGCCAAGCCCCAGCGGATGGAGCAGGGACTCACTGTTTTCGAAGCCCCGTGTTAAATGTCAGGGTTCAGAATGAAACATCCCTGCACCTGCCCCTGAGAAGGTCACAGCCTAGTGGCTGATGATTGAGACCGAGAAAACAGCTGAATCTTTAGCTAGAGTTGAGGGGCTTTGTGCAGGTGGGGTTTCATGGACCCAGGCTTGGAGAGGGAAGAATAGAGGGACATTCCTGGCAGTGGGAACGCACTGAGCGTGTCTGGGAAGGCTGGGAGGTCCTACGTGGCCTGTGTGCTGTGGCCAAGAGGGGAGGACTTGGCTCCAAAAGAAGGGCGACTGGAGAGGCCGGCCTGTGGCCAGGGCCTCCTCACTGGCCTCTCTGCCTCCGTCCTGCTCCTTCCCAGGTGCTGTGGGAGTGATCTTTCTGAACCATAGCAGATACTTCCAGGGGCCCCTGCTCCTCTGGAGGGAGGGCTCTGTCCTCATCCCTACCCACCTCCCTTCAGGGGGCAGTCACGTGCCGCCTGCCTCTGTGCAGAGTGCTGACCCTTCCTTCCACCTGGGATGCCCTTCGTCCTCCTCCCTGCCTCCCAAGACCCAAACAGATGTCCTGTTTCCTCCTCCTCTGACCTCCAAGGCGGGATGAGTCATCCCCCTTTGTCTCTCCCAGTGGCACAGTGTTTATCACGGAATTATTGGCAATTCTGTCTGTGTGTCCTCCCCACGAGGCGGGAGCATCTAGGCCTGAAAGCCAGTCTCCTTCCTCCCCGGCTCAGCGCCAAGAGCGAGGCCTAGATACTCAGAAAGGCTTCCTGGCAGAAGGGCCAGGTGAGGTGGAGAGGGTGAGAATCTTCCAGGTGGCCCTTTGATCCTGAGCAGGGGCCTGCAGATCTATGTGAATTCTGTGCTGTCATGCTGAGGGGAGGGGAGGGGAGGGGCCGGGGTGAAGAGAGCTGGGCCAGCTCCCCCCAGGCCGCTCCCCAAGGGGGCTGGGAGAAACTGGCTCATCCTGTTTCTCCGGGGATTGAGGCTGAGCTGTGCCCTGTTCCTGGGGGTCACTGGGATCCAAGGTTGGAATGTGACACCAGGGGAGGCAGGGCTAGAGGTGCAGGTTGGGGCCTGGCTGGCAAAGGGCAGATTTGGCTCTACTGGTTCGTGAACCCGTTTGAAAAGTGTGTATGTGGTGGTGGTGGTGAGAGAGATGGGTGAGGGAGAGAGACAGGGCAGAAGAGAAAAACCTGGGGGCAGAGAGACAGGAGCGGGGAGAGGAGGACAGCTTGGTGGGGGGGGGGGGGTTGTGCAAAGAGGAGAGAGAGCTGGAAATGGTGGGGGAGACACCAAAAGAGGGGGAGATGTTCTTGTTGCAGATTAATCTGTCTAAAATCAGGAGATCCAGGCACCGTGGTGCACACCTGTGATCCCAGCAACTCTGGAGTCTGAGAAGCAAATTCAAGGCCATCCTGGGCAAACTTAGCAAGACCCTGTCTCAAAATAAAAAAATAAGAAGTGAGGACTGGGGATGTAGCCCAGTAGTAAAGCACCCTTGGATGCAATCCGCTACACACACACACACACACACACACACACACACACACACAGAAATCCAGGGTGAAAACAGCCAGGTGCACCAGGATTTAGGGTTCAGGTGATACTGGACGTTTTTGTTCACTCATCTGTCTGTTCCTTCAGCAGCCATTCCTGTGCTCACACTGGGCCCATGTCTGAGCCAGCTTGTGGTCCAAACTTTAAGGCCCTCTGTGGCTGAACGCTGGGTGGGAAGCGCACATCCAGCTTCTCTACAGAGTGGTCTGACTTGGAGGTGTGGGTCATCGAGGATGCCGTGGAGAGGCAGGGGAGAGTCCTGTGAGAAGGGTATCGAGGCACTGGGCCTAGGATGAGGCTGGTGGGACCCATTTGGTTAGGAGCTGTGGGGTGGGCAGTCAGGGCATCTCCCACTGTCGTCTACACCCA